ATATTGCTTTATTTGTCCCACAATAAATGATGTAGAATATAGTATATTCATAGGTTTTATAGTGTATAATCCCCTGATTATAGGAATCATACCATTTACCATGTTCCTTAGATCAGTGGTTCCCAGCCTTCTTCCTTAAGGGACCCCTATTCTATGATTAAGTAAACTGAAGACCCCTGACTAAGTTCTATTTCATAGATATTTCATATTATATTCAAAACTGTACATTAACCCAAATAGTGAACATAATAGCTGCAGGAAGTTTGTGTAAAACAGGTGAATTTTGAGCAGATTATTTCCTGTTTAGAAACGTTTTATACAATTTTCTGTCTGTATTATGTATTTTTAATGAGCACAAATACTTGATGTTCAGTACGGGTAAAGCACCAAAAGGACTAAATCCTACACGTCCCATAATGCAACACAGTAGCCTCTAATTCATTAGACCTTAACTGCCTGGTAAATCCAATCCCTTTCTGTTGGTTGTGTCCTTCAAGATCAAGCTGGAATTGTTTCTAGATTACGTCGTCCCAATTACATGATCAGGGTTATGATGACGGTTATAAAAGATCCTCCAGAGCCAAAGAAGGCCTACTGTTTCGAATAGCTGAATATCACTCCTCACGATGAGTAAACTGAGCTGTGGAGTCCCCTGTGGAAAACAATATCTGCTGAGTCCTCACCCACCACCCCTGTATTGTGTCACCTTCAAGTTCTCATCGAGTGTGCACACAGCGGACGATGGAGATCCAGTACTTCTGTGCTAGAATAATACCGTCTGTGTCTGTAGCTTGGTAATTTTTATCAAACACATCTTTATTTAGCACTTTGCACTATGTGGTGGGGGTGTGTATCAAACACTTTATGAAACTTTTCAAAACCAAGAATCCAACAATCAATGCCTACATCACACAGTAATTGGTCACTTATGTGGAAGTATGAAACTTGGCAAGAGCTGAACTTCTCTCAGATTCTTCTTTTTTTATTCTTCTATCAGTTTTCATAAATCCAGCTGAGTGCAACACCATGAATGCCTTCGAGGAGAGACTGTCTGAAAGTGTGTGCTGTTGTGCCCATTTGTACAATTCATCGCATTTGAGACAACAAAGACACAGAGTTCTTGGAGAGAGATTGGGGAGTCAGAGGGATGCAGCCAGGAGGAGGCTGATGGCAATGCAGTCCACCTTTTGGAACAGCTATGAACAGTTTTATATATTTTTATCTTTAGATGTGGTCTAATGGCACACACAATCCAATATGTGGCCAAAAAACATTTGCATTTAATCAAATAATCACAAGTAAATTAGCAGATAGTGAACCTGGAGCTTCAGGGGACCCTGTGGGGTCTGGGGCCCATGGGCATTTGTCTCCTTTGTCCAGTTTGTAACCCAGCCTTGGTCAAGGTATATATTGTCACATATATGAATGTAATAGTTATGGATAGTTAATCGTGGATAGTTATGTAGTTACATACAGTAGGTGTGTGTGTTTAATGGTGATTCATTGTGATTTACAGTACGGTATAATATGTGCTTTGTAAATGTTGATAAGAGTGAGTTAATGGGATAGTTTGATGATGGAATATTTAAGCAGTTTTACACAGGCTGATGTCTTAAAATCACCCACTGTATGTGCACATGGATTTACACTAGAGTCTAGAGGCCATTTTTTCACATCTTTTTGGCTCCTGACATAGTAGGTGTACAGACTAATGGAGAGACTTTTAGCCCCTGCATCCACTAGATAGATAAATATTTAATATGATAATACACCTCTCAGATAATCCCACGCCCACATGCACGCAAGTCTACAGCAGAACCTGACAGAGCACCCTCCATATAAAATTGATTTCCTGAGATAGATGGCTGTTCTTGCCATAAAACAAGGTTCCCTGTCTTCCCAAGGATGAGCTGTCTGCTGTGACCCAATTGGACATCACAACGCCAACAGAGGGGTTGCGCACTATGGCTAAAATGCGGGATATGAAATATTAGCAGATTAGTGATTGATGATTGAATTAATCCAACCAAAATTAAGCCACACAATTACCTGATTCTTTTTATGTTTTTAAATGGAAAGTAACAAAAATGCGACCAAAGCCAGCAGGCTATACCGAAATGTGAGAGTTGTAAACTAAATGTTAATCAGTCGCTGCCGTTTGAGTGCCTACAGATACTTTTTCCCCTTAATTTTTCCATATAGGCAGCCGAACACCTGCTGTGTACCGCCAAATTGTCATTAATGTCCACAAATTAAACATTTAAATATTTTTTAGCACTATTAATAAACACCAGAAACAAAAACCTAAAAAAAATAAATGATTATATATTTTGGCCTGAAACTAGTCCCAAGTCCAGTTTGTCGACCATTTATCAATTACCAAAATAGTGGTTAATTTTTTTATATTAATTTTGTTAATTTTCTGTTGACCGACTAATTGATTAATCAATACATTTCACATTTTACCTACTTGTGTAACACAGTGTGGAGCCTGACCGATAGGGGCGCCTGTCAGGATAAACTCAGGGCAAACAAATACGTCATCACGTACAGTCTCACGCACAGCTCAGTTCTCGCGAGAACACGCGACAGTTGAATTTGAAAACAGGCGGCAGCGCTGCGAGAAGAAAACAGAGGGAAAAGGTACATTTCTGAATCTCACTTTAAGTGTAATTCTTCTGTATAATACAGTGTCTGCGTTGATATTCTGATAAAGGGTCGTGTGAAGTGTCTCTGGGGAGCTTAAATCCCACACGACCTCGCTCGGTTACGTTGTTTTGCTGCTCTGCTTTAGTGGACCGAGGTGGGGCTTGAGCTCATAATGAGGCTCTAGAGACCAACAGGCTGCTGCAGTCAACATTACTTACGTCGCTGGAAGTTACTGCGAGGAAAGCTTGTGCGGATGTTTGAGTGATCTGGTCTTGTTTTGTTTCGTTTCGTTTTTTCTGTGAAGGAAAGATGACTGCCGACAATGAAATGGACATTAAAGAGGCGTTTCAGCGCGCTCAGAAGGGCCACAATAACAAGGCAAAGCTTGTGGCAAGCCTTAAGAGCCGCTACAGCAAGGTAAGTGGTGTGTGTGTGTGTGT